CACTGTAGAGTAACAACCAGAATTTTGATAAATCTGGCCGTGCCCGTTTGGGGTTGTTGGTGCTACCTTGCCAAACGCGGATTTACAGGCGCAACCTATTTGCTCCAAAACCTTCTGCAATATCACCTATCAAACATAATGCCAACTCTCTATAGTTAGATCTCCTTCCGGGAATTCCTATTCTAGATTTGTACTTCACTTGGATTTCCACAGAGCTTTGTGTTCGATTTTGGCTCCTTTAGGTTACAGAGTATTTTTCGCCTCCAGCCTGACTTGAACCGTGGACCTTAACTTAATTACCGTGGGGGTTTAGCAATTTAACAAGTAAGCTATAGGGCCCAAACCCTCTAATAATAATTTTATAAATTTAAATTACAATATATTTTTTTATTAATTTAATAGTTTTTAAATATAGTCGATTCTGAATTTCAATATGGATCAGAAAACAATTTAGATTTTGAAATTTTATTGCAACAATGACAAAGACATGAAGTTTATACTTCAAAGCCACTTAAATAAAAATTTAAATTAGTTGGAACATCTTCTGCAAAAACTTAATAATATAACAATTCAAGGATAGATAGTGAAAATAAAGATATCGATTATTGCATGAAAGAGGTTGAGGTTCAACTTAAAATTATTGTATAAAATATGATTAAATGGATTCTGTTTGGTAGGTAGAAAAATAATAAAAAAATTCAACAAATAAAGTTTAGTTCTGAATTTTCAGTAATTTGGTTAGATGGTAAATATTAGCGATAGCAATTATGCAAGATTTTATAAATCTTCTGGTTCTAAAAAAAATCATCTTGGTTTATTTACAGTAACCAAACTAATTGTATAATGGTGAATTGTGGGCTTGAGATATACGAATTAACTCACAATACTGCAATATAAAAACAAATTAATATATAATGTGATGATGTTTTAATATGCCAATAATAGAAGTCAGTAATTTTAAAGAACAAAACTAGAGATTTGTGTGGAATTCACAAAGTATATTCTCATTTTTTACATTTTTAAAGTTTGTTAGCGTTAATAGTTCTAATTAAAACAATACTGTATGTAGATTAAACTGATTATGATAAAATAAGTAGTTATAAATAAACTCTATACTTACTTTTGGAAGATTAACAATATGCGAATATACAGAAAATGAGCTGCGTCTTAAAAACTTTATTATTGGCAGTTCAATATAGAATTCTAATAATAATAAATGATAATTTTACTTTACTTATTCATAAAATTTCTTTGAAATAAATATAACTCTGTTCTAGTCAAAAAAAGAAAAGTAGCATGAGCAATAAGGTTCTATATTTATATATTTAAAAAAAAAAAAATCTCTTCTAAAATATCTAAAAAATATAACAGGTTGGAAACACAGTTTCGAAAGGCTTTCAAAACACAAATATGTTGCTTGCATTATATATCCCAAAAAAGTAGTATGCATATGTGGTAAAAAAATAAAACTTTATAGAAAATAGAAGGAGGATTATCTTAACTATCATGTTCAATGTTCTGGATGTAAAGCAATTAAAAGGCAAAGAACAATTTATAATTGGTTTCAACCAGTAATACAAAAAGAGCATTTCGAAGAAGAATATGTTGAGAAAGAATATGCCAAAGAAGATGAGTATGACTCTGATGTTTATGATAATATAGATGATAATGACTTAATACAAGTTAACAAAATAGAAAAAGATTCAAACCAAGAATTTCAAGCTATTAGTATTGAAGAAAGATTAGATCATACAAAAGATACCAAAAAATGGTTAATTTGTGTTGGTCTTCAATTTGTAGAAATATCAAATTATATAAAATGAACTCCTACACAATTTGGTGGTTGTTGTCACATTAAAATTGTTGCGTGTAAACTTTTTTCTCATTTATTTCCACAAAAATTTAGTAGAAAAAAGTTGAGTTTTAAACAAAAAAGACAATTAAACTATGCACTCTTTGCAGAATCTATCTGGCAGATTGACCGATCAAGTATATAATTTATAAAATATTAATCTAATTCTTATAATACTTTAATACTAATAATTTATTAAAGGTAATACAGTGCATACAAAATCTTGTACTGGGATAGCTGAACAAGGAAATATTTGTAACAAATGTTCTTTCATCCGATCCAATCCAAATTTATGCAATAAAATTGCACGTCCTTTACCATTGTCTAGCAATACTAAATTTACACCAAAACATTATTAGGATGATAATCCTTTAAAACAGTAACTTAAAAATCATGATCTTTGTGATATTTGAAATACACTTAATAATAAATCTGAAACACAATCAGAAAATCCATAGATCACTCTTGCAGACAAAGCTTTAAAAGAGGCTTTTAATAATATACCAGTATTTACTAGTCTTTGTAAAGTTATGAGCGATGCAATTGAACAAAAAATGAAAAACAAATCTAAATATAATTTGAAATATAGCAAAGAATTTACTAGTTTTTTAGCTGTATTGGGAGGAATTAGTCCAAGAGCTTTAGATCTTTTTCACCAAAATCTAAAAGGTCAAACAATTCAGTCAATTAGGTAATAAAAAATTATAAATACAATTTATTTTACTTTTAAATTTATTAACTTATATTTTATAGGAAATTAAAAAAAAATAATAACGATTATTTAACTAATCCTGAATTATGCTATGAAAATATAGCTAGATTTAAGAGACTTATTGATACAATTAATTATAATAGACCAGTTGCTGCAATGACAGATAATACAAAACTTAAATTAGGATTATGATATTCTCCTAATCATGGATGTATTTTTGGATTAGTATTATCAAATGAGGAAACAAAGGTTAATACATATAACGATATTCCAAGAATAATTAATAAGATCAAAGCAGAAAATGAAATTGCAAAAAATGTTTGTGCATATCTTTTACAGGTATAATTTAAATTGATATATATATAAATTACTAAAATTGTATATTTATATAAAAGATACCATTACCTGCATTTTCTTCAATAGTTATTGCTCTAATTCCAAATAATAGATCAGATATCGCAGATTCAATTTTACAACTACATAAGAAATTAATTATCAATATTGCATTACGACTTGGTTTTTATATACTTTCTTTGGGATCGGATGGAGCTATAACAGAATTTCAAGTACAGCAATCAATTTCTAAAACCCAAATGAATGAAAAGCTAGTAGTTAAAG